TAAAAAAGACAAATAGAACAATTATATTCAAGTCTCTCTTGTAAATGAGTCCTCATGTCTCAGTGGGACTAACCTGTTTAAATAAAGATTGAATATCTTCTACAGAAATGAAGAATTCATCAGATCTAAGGTAAGCTAGAGCAGATGCTGGCATGAAGGACAAGGTGGAGCATTCTCATGCTGCATGCAGAGAACATCAGAAATAGCTTTATAACAAGTGTCATTCTGTTTTTTTACGCGTGTAACGTTATTATAAAACACCGTTGACATGGTTATATTGATCATTGTATTGCATAGACATTTTTTTCTAACAAATATGTTTGCAGTCTCGTTTCCTTCTAAAATGTAATGATAAATGTATCTGCTGCGTCTAAAAATGCTTTGATAAATGCATAGTCAGTGAAATAATCAGTAATCAGTTAAGTAATCAGTTTGTTACTGCTCAACAATTACCGAAAGACGCCAGGTAAAGTAAGAAAAGTCCATTTTTGTGTTGTGTTGCGTCAGTAGCCGCTCAAACTGACCGACAGTGATGAGCTGTTTGGAACTATTGAGAGCTGCATGAACCACGTGAACGCGTATCGGCGAGTTCAAAGAGTGTCGCAACTCTCTATGGCGCTGACTAACTGCTGCTGGCAAGTCACATGACGGAGTGTAGATGTCCCTGAAGAAAACAGAAACTCACTGTTGGATTTGTTTGAAAAATCACAGAAAGTAATCATCAGATAAATGTCTAGAACTGATCAACGTTTGGAGCCATTTTGATTCAAGATGGCTGCCACAGCTACCTCTTTTGTTTTTTTGCCAAGAGACAAGTGATCTCTTCCTCCTTGTCCATTGACGCCATGACCGAAATTGTGAGAAATGAAGGAATTTGTCACGAGAATTAAATCAGGCCCAGCATGGCTGCAGCAGAGTCTGGAGATTTCCTGGTGGGCCGGTCTGATGTGTGGGCTGCAGGACCAGCGCTCCCTGTTTTTTTCTTTATTTTTAGAACTTTTTATTAACAATATATAAACACAGAACACCACTGCCGCTGGGCTGCCAGCTCTTTTTTTTTTTTAGACCTGTCAATCAATCCAGTAGGCGTGTCAGCAAATGACCAATCGGCGACCTCAATTTGTCCCAACGGTAAACACCCCTGGTCTGCTGGAATGGTGCTGCACCCTGGGATGAAGAGTGTACTTTGTTTTCTTGATTTAGGCGTACGTCGTTTCAAAGGAAAATCCAAGCATGTCTGTGTAAAGGAGGTCCCAGATGTGTAAAATGATGTGTGATAGTTGACAGCCCTGATGTGGGTCTTTAGGTTTTAACTTTTATAAAGTAAAAAATAAACGTTTAATGCTCATATACTAAAAAAGAGCACTAACATCTGCTGTTGTCTGATTGCAACCCTGTCATTGATTAATCATTTAGTAAGTTAAGCTACAAATCCAAGGACTAGTTACACAAAATGTTCCTAAAAAGCTACGTTTGTTAGCTTCTTAAAAACTGTTACTAAACTTTACAAACATTGACATTGATCCCAATATACAAACCTAATCTGTAGAGTCCCACACAATCTGCTCCACCAGTTGCTACTTTCATCTGGTCAGCTGAGCTGCTGGTCGGAAGAGCTCCATCTTCCACTAGGTGCTGATGAAGCTGAGAGAACAGAGGTTTCTCTTCATCTTCCTCACTCTTCAAAGGAACTGCAGTGAAGGAAAACCCAGTGTCATCAGTCTCTACATCCAGACTGATCCTCAGTTCCTCCTCTTCCTCCTTTATGTTGAAGGTCTCTGAGCCCTTTTGATCCACATCAGAACTCCATTTTTTAGGATCATGCTCTTTAATCAGCACCATCTGATGAACATCTGCAGGGAACACTGAAACACATGGACACAGTAGGGTCAGTTATATTTTTATAGGCACACAAACATCACTTGTGTTATCACAGAGTTCACTGACCAGCTCAAAATAACAGCTAATGCTGGATGTCAGAAAAATGTCCTGAAACTAATTCCATAAAAGACAGAAGTTCTTATGACTGACTCTCAGAAGATGGTAAAACATGTGGAGCTTTCAGTCAATTACTTTAAGGAACAAATTTAACAAGTTGCATTCTTCTAAACTTGTTCCAGCTTTTTTATCAGCTGTGAGAAAATGCAAAAACGTATGTATTTCCACAAATATTCATGACTAAGAGTCTTTCTACATGCCTCCATAACAAACCAGCTCCAGACTGAACTGAACTTAGCTACAGTCTTTTAACAAGAACCAAGAAATATGATCAGGTTAGCCTCGCTGCATTGGTTCAGAATTGATGTTAACTTATGATAATAACATTAAAAGGTTTTAATATTTTGTCAAGTATGTACCTCTGATGATCTCAGTCTTAATCTTCTCCATCCTTGTCTCTCCTAAGGAGAACCTCAACATCTTCATTTCTGCTACTTCCAGTTCTGTCTCCTGTCTTTTTGTCCATGTCTCTGTCTCCAGACCATACAACAGAGCTGGTCTCACCACTGTCTTGTAAACTTTTCCTTTGACCTTTGCTGACACCCTTCTGTCTCAAATCACTCGTGAAATTTTCTCCATCACTCCATCATGTCTGAACTCTCTTCTTCTCCTCTTTACCACACTCCACATGTTCCTGGACAGTGGACCCCAAGTCCTTGAAGTCCTGCACCTTTGTGACCTCTGCTCCTTGTAGCCTCACTGCTCCACCAGCCTCCCTCTACGTTTTTCAACATCTGCAGGACCATGTTGCATTCGTTTTACACTCTGGTCTCCAGCGTCTTCTTCTACTCTGTGGTGTGCTGGGGCAGCAGGGTGAAGAAAGATGATGCCAACAGATGTGATAAGCTCATCAAAGAGAGCAGGCTCAGTTCTGGGAGTGGACCTGCAGTCTCTGACAAAGGTGTCTGAGCAGAGGATGCTGAGGAAACTGCTCCAGATCCTGAACAACACGTCACACCCACTGCATGCCACACTGGACTCAGCAGAGAGCACCTTCATTCGTAGACCGAGTCCACCACCAGTGTTGCCAGATTGGGCTGTTTACCGCCAATTGGGCGGTTTTCATTCTGATTTTGCTGGTAAAAATTGCTTTGGGCGGGTGGGGATAATTTGGGCAGATGTGGAGTCAGATCAGCGGTTTTTGAGTTAACTTATTTAACACATTTCAAACTGTCATTCATCATTATTGGTTCAAAGTTCCCCTGACTTTTCTCCATCACTGATTGGCTATTGTCATCTGTCAGGGTGTTCACAACAGAGAACTGTTGAGGCAGTTTTAGTGGACACCTCGTTGAGTGGGCTGGCCTGTTGCGGCGCGTCGGAGTGGCCGCCATATTGGATGTGGCAGAACTGCAGGTCAACTAATAAAGGAAATGCACTGAACTTTATAAAGCACCATTCTGCAAAGTGTTTTATGTTAATGCATGTCATTCACACACACTAATATATTTGGAAAACGAACAGACACCAAAGACAACATTTATAACTTTTAAAGCGATTATTAAAAATGTTTACTCCTAAAATATTTAGGTAAAAGGTAAGCACTAAACCAACATAAATATTCTTTTGAGTGTTTACAATTACTAATATGTGTAGCACTCACTGTGGTGATAAATATAGAAATATTCATATTGAACATTTAATCTGCGTCTATAATAACCAGATCATGAAATGTGACGTGCTGATTTTCTGAATAAAGAACACTAACATCCACATTTAACTGATTCTGATTAATCACATTGATGAACATATAAACACCAATATATCTTTATAGGGGGTATATATATATATATATATATATATATATATATATATATATATATGTGTGTGTGTGTGTGTGTAAACAGTAAATATTGATTGAGCGGGGTTTTGTGTGATGGGGTGGTTTTTAACAGATTTTTGGGCTGGAAAACCTAGACTACCTGGCAACACTGGAGACCACAGAGGTGCTCCACAGGAAGTCCTTCCTCCCTGTGGCTATCAACCTTTCAACCCTTCCCCCTTTTCTACACATGGGACAATAAGAATGAATCCTGCACCACAATAAACACTTTAATGTTTGTCTGCACCTGACCTGTTTAGCACAAACATTTTCTGCGGGATCACTAAAGTTCTATATTATCTGATACTGCGACTCACTCACCTTGTGAGTCCTCGAGGCTCAGAACATGTGTCTCATCACACTAAGGAAAGAGGAATGCATGTATACAAACCTAAACTGTGCAGACGAACTTTGGGATTCAAAACGACATAGATGGTTTTGTTTGGAAGCACATTTTCTCTTAAACGAGGCCGTTCCTCTTGATAATCTGGGCCTCTTTGGTCCTGACACACCGACATTTCCGTGACTGCGTCCAGTCCTTCTGTAGCCTGCTTTCGTTTATCTAAAGTTTCTTTTACCAGTTACTGAGCCGAACTCAAGGAGATACATGTACTGTAAACGTTACAGAAACTTTATAAATCGCTGTAGAGACAAGCCGTTGGAAGCTTCTTCTTCTTCTTCTTCTTTGGTTTTTAACGGCAGCTTGCATAGCCGTTGGAAGCTAAAGCTAATGCAGCTTTTATTTTAGGGCGCGTACGTTCAAAACGTAATTACGTCATGCAAACGCTTAGATTTCATTGGTCACGTCTGTCCTCTACGTCTTCTTTTAGCTCCGCCCATAAAGATCGTCCTTCGTTGGCTTGGAAACCATCGCAGCGTTGTCGGTGAAGTTGAAGGCCAGTGGGAGCAGTGTAGATTCGTGTAGCTACTTTGAACCACCTCTCATACAGCTTATTAAATTAATTTATGTGGGGTTGAGCTTATTTTATGGTTCAAGAATATTTGCTGAGGAACAGAAATATTAAGTCGACTCGTCACAATTGTCGATAGCTAGCATCTAACTACTAGCTGCTGCTGAGGAAGCTAATGTTTCTGTTAGCTTTAGTCCTCTCAGAAGTGTGAGCTTTAATACATTGTGCTTGATGTAAACTAAGCAAAAACGTACTTAAGTGTGTTCTAATTCATCCAGCTAGCTTGGCTAATGTGTCTGGGAATCACTGAAAATAACGAATATATATTTTATGTATTTAGAATGAGGCTGTGTTATTGTCTGCGCTCAGAATGAGGGACATCACTGCGCTTGAAAATGCCTGCAGGTGAGTTTTCTTTAGCGTTTTGCACTTATAATAAAATATAATGGTACAATCTTGTGATGCTGTTTTGTGAGATGTATATACTGTTTATTATTTTCAATAGAAAAAAATATATATTAATGCACAACATAAAACATAACAGAATAATGACATAAAAACGTTGATGATAAAACAATATACATGTATGGGTCTATGTAAGTAGATTGTAGTTATTGGACAGACATGTAGCACATAAACAGTGTTGCAGCATTGATAGATATTGTTCAAGGGCTGATAAATTAGGATCATACTGCACAAAGTCTATCAGTTTGGTGCTTGATTATTAAATTTACATCTATATATTCAGGTGTCTTGTAAATGAGTCCTCATGGCTCAATGGGACTAACCTGTCTAAATAAAGGTTGAATGATAATCAGCAAAATGGAGAACGTATTTTAGTGGGTTGACATAATTTAGGGATTGGAGTATATTCATTTTAAATTGTCAAGCTGATAAATTTGGATTAATTTCATAGTTTAAATTATAGAGGTTTGAGAAATATAAAAATTAAATTCAGTTTATTTATATAGTGCCAATTCACAACAGAAGTCATCTCAAGGCACTGAACAGAAACATTCATACATAATAATAATAATTTAACACTATATTTGAGGAGCACACTGCTTTGAATTTAACTACATCACAGTTAAATTATTGTCTTTTATATTCACATGTTCTACAATACAAACAATGATTACCGTAAGTCCAAAATAGAAACAAGGTAAATGGTAAGGTTAGGTTTTTTTTTTTCTCAGCTACCTTCAGTTAGCTTAGAAATGATTAAAAAATAGATTTAAAAGTATTTAAATCAACATATTCAGCTGATGTCACACTTTCATTACCCGATTTCAAAGTATCCATCTCAAAATATTTTTCTAATTACTTAAAATGCAATTTTTTTCTAGGTGAGAGTGAAGACCGGTCAAAGACCCGGGAAAGATTTAATGAAGCCTTCAAAAGATATACAGAATCTGAGAAGAAAAAGTCAAAGAAGAGAAGCACTGAAGCAAAGGAGACTATAGTTGTAAGTGTTTTATTTTTTTATTTTTTACTATTTTCAGCAGAACTCAAAGAGATGAATATCCATTCATCCATTATCTTTTACCGCTTCTTCCTTTTCCTTTCCTCACAGCTAGGGATGATTTAGTTACCAATTAGCCTACAGAGAGAACATACAAACTCCAAAAAGCTCATTATTTAAATACTTTAAAATCTATTATTTAGTCATTTATGAGCTACTGTTACAGAACTGTGCAGCAGAAGATGCATATTAGAAAAAGTGTGTAATTGTTTTTCATGCAAACCTATATGCTCATCATGACACAGCCGACATTTTGACTTGAAAGAAAAGATAAAGCACAAATATAATAACGATGGCTGCATTCAATTTAGCAGAAATTCTGCCTATAAACATTTTTCCAGAACAGCTAGCTTAGACAACTGCAGAAGTGCAGCTCAGAGTATTCTCTACTGTTCAAGACAAAATGTTGGACATGAATAGGACCATTAAATTCACACGGAAGTTTTTCAGTATTGTTGTATTTTTCTGTAATCTTCTTTTATTTTGTATGTGTTTATTTATTTTTTTCTTCACAATTTTAGTCAGTTATAACTCATCCGTCTCATTAAGGAGATGGGTGGTATAACTGTTGGTTTTGTCAATTTTATACTTAAATATTACACTAAAATATGAAAATATTTATCTGTAATTACACGTGACAGTAAATTTTTTTTCTTCATAAAAATACATTAAGATCTTTTCAATTACTTGAAAACATGGTTCTCACTGAAATCTGCTTTAGATAACTTGCTCTGTTTGGGTCGTTTTATGTTACTTTACCATCATTTTGCTATATTTTAGCTACAGTTTTGCCACTTTTAAGCTTTTAGCTAGCCTTTTGTTGTTCTACTACATTTAGCATACTGCTAGCCTTTTGCTATTTATTTGTTTTGAGGTATTTTTCATTCGATTTCTTAGCTAATGTTTCTGTACTTTTTGCTTTTAGCTACCAATTTGCTACTTTTAGCTTCTAACTTGCCTTTTGCTACTTTTAATTTGTTTTTTGCTACTTTTAGGTTTTAGTTAGCCTTTGCTTCTTTTGGCTTTTAGCTAGTATTTTTCTACTTCTGGCATTTAGCTAGCGTTCTGCTTTTTTAGCTTTATCTTTGCGTTTTATCTCTCAGCAAATCTCAGCAAACTCATGCAGAATTCACACAACATTTTTACAGAAAATGCCTTTTCTCTAGTTCAAACTTAAATAAAGAACAACGTGTAAGCACATTATCAGTTTGTTGACCTCTGTCCTTCTTTTAAGCTTCAGAATTTGAGAAAGAATCTCAACCTTGAGAAAGATACAGAAGATGATGAGACCGTTCTGCAGAACACATACGATCCTGAAAAGGGCAGCCCTCGTTATACCAAGAACAAAAGGAGAGAAAGAGAAATAAGAGAAAAGGTTAATCTTAACAACAGCCAAAACCAAGATGAAATCACCACAGCAAAGTCAAAGCGGAAGAGTAAAAGGGACCTGCCCGAGCCCAAAGACATCACCGATCACATCCAGGAGGATGCAGATGCTTCCAAGGCTGACAGCAGTGCTTTGGATCCAGAAGATGCTGGAGGTGGAAAAGAACTGAAATGGAAAAGCAAGAAGGGAAAAGGTGCAGAGAGTGCAGCAGCAAGCCAAGTGGAAGATGCAGAAGACCACCTGCTGCATGAATATCAGCAGCAGATCAAACAGGAAGAAGAGAAGAGTATGAAGAAAGCAAAGGCTGAGAAAGAAATCCAGAGCTTTGTGCCGCAAAATATTACCTTGAACAACGACGTGGGAAAGAAGAAGAAAAAGAAGTTACAATCTGTAACAACAGAGTCAGATGTGGGGTGTGTATTTCTCTTCTTTTAAAACATACTTTAATGTTTGTTATTTAGAATGAATGTAAATGTACAGTTTAGGCATTTTCTTTTTCGTCAGGGATCAAGATGAACAAGTAGATTGTGATGCTGGTGTGGAAAACGGAACGGAGTCAAAGGGAAAGAAGAAGAAGAAGAAGAAAAAGCATGGTAAGTTAAAGATCTGGCATTCCCTGAAGAAATGCATACAAGGCTTTCCCCCCTTCATGCCAAAGTTTCAAACTCAAATCATCTCGTTAAGAAATGTCAGCGGTGGAGGCGTTTTGGTCAAACCTTGAAAATAACATCATGGGTGATCTCATCCAATAAGACGTGACGGTCGACGTACATGTAGCTAATGATTCCCAATTACGACCACATCAAATCTGAGCTCAATATCTATAAATCTGACCAAGGTGCAGTCATTTTCCTGTTGACAAATGTTCATTAGCTGGAGCAGCCATCTTGAATTGAATTATCGTCAAAAGTTTATCAGTTGTCGATGTACTGTACGTCCAATAATTAGTTTCTGATGGTTTCAGTAAATACATCCTTTGGTTAGTGAGAAATTTTACTAACAGACACACAAGAGGCATGCACAACGTTTGTCTCTTATTTGCTTTTTTATTTGGTGAGTGATAATAAACAGAAAAAGTAGATATTTACGAAGTTCCTGTTTTATTTTCCAATTTCCAGTCATCAAAGAAGAGACCGAAGCTGAACCAGAAGAGCCACAAGATGCAACATTTGATGGCAGTCTTGTTCTGGGCCTCTTCATCCACAGAACAGATCCCCTCAAGACGGACTTACTGATCTCACACCCCATGGTCAAGATCCACGTAGTTGATGAAATCACAGGACAGTATGTGAAGAAGGAGGACTGGTGAGAGCAAATACCTTCTCAGATATTACTACACTTTCCTTTCTTCAGTCAGAAAATGTGTTCAAGCTTATTATTATCGCCTGCTGCCAAAGGCAAAGCAGCTATAATGTTTATGATGTGGTAGTAGTTGATAGTCATTAATATATTCTGAGCACTAACACATTTAGCAAGATTGCACTTGTCATTTACACAGTTTGACCAAAGCCACAATAAGTCTGTCATCATAAACTGATATTAGTTTAAAACTCTGTCTTGAATTGTGGAGGGTGATGAGCTTCAAGGAATGCTGGGCCTTTATTGTTCCCCGTCGCAAAGCGAAGAGGGAGAATTGGAACTGCTCTACTTCCGTGCATGTTGTGAGCACGATAGCTTAAAAACTAAGGCAGTTACCGACTTCCATTTTGGTGTGTGGCTACAGCTAGGCATAAGAAAGGCTCATTACCAAAACTGGGTTGCCACGTCAAAATCCAAGATGACTGCCGCCATATATGTATATGTAAACTGACCGCCTCAATCATGTGAAGAAACTATGCTTTCCAGTTTTTACATTGCTTAAAAGTATAGTTTCCTCAAATGATTGTGTCAAAAATAAGCGACGTGTTGACTCCCACTTTGTTGTGTGGCTGCATCTAGGCTTCAGAAAGGTCACTTTCATAAAATGAGTTGCCACAAATCCAAAATGGTCACCACCATATACGTAAGATATATGTAATCTGAGCACCCTTTTATTTGAGGAAACTGCTTTTTAGCTTTTGTATTTCTTAAATTCCTTGGCATTTGGTCCACGCAGAGTCTGAGAACAAATTTTGAGCTGATTTCATTGTTGTGTATTTACTGTTAACTTTCTTATGTTTCTGAGTGGCACTAGATGCATTTTTTACTCTTTTTATCCGTCTTAACTGTAAAGCACTTTGGTCAGCTTTTGTTGTTTTTATGTGCTTTATAAATAAATTGACAATGACATAAATTTTAAAAATTTTGGCTGCTCCTTCTTCAGGGTCGCCACAGCGAACTAACTCACACCAAGACTTGTTTTTTCTGCCGGATGCCCTTCCTGTTGCAACCTCTGTGTGGAGCAGAGAGCTGCTATCTAGGGCACCCGGGGGGGCAGGTGGTGGGGGTTAAGGGCCTTGCTCAACGGCCCAGATGGAGCAGATGAGGGTCATTTGGGGCTTCACCTTTCTTACCAACATTTTTGATGTTGTTGGTCTGGGGAGTGGAACCAGCGACCTTCCAATCACAGGCTCGCCTTCTCTAACCTCCATGCCACCACTCCCCAATATATTGCTTAAAACTACAATTTCCTTAAATAATTAGGGTGGCCGAAAATTAATCTATGGTGACCGTGGCCACCATTGGCCACCCCCTGGCTCCTCCATTGTGCCTGATGGCGGATGGAATTGCTCCCTCCATTCCCCAGGATCTGTCACTCTGCAGTCTACTTACACACAGTGTAACTTCTACCCACCTGAATAACTTGCACCAAAAACATTTAGGTTTACTCGCGTTCCCTGTTCAATTCCAGTCCAGAAAACACTCGTCTCCAAAACTACAATCGTTCAGTGACCGGAGACAGTGGCGTACCGCTGATTATATATTCTTAATGTTCTTAATGTTTATATATTGTTAAATTGCTCTTTGTTTTAAAGCCATCGGCCCGTCTCTTCGTATTACGAACAAGAGAACGTTGATCACGTTCTCCCCATCATGACGCAGCCCTTTGACTTCAAGAAGAACAAATCCATCGTCCCCGAGTGGCAGGAGCAGATCATATTCAACGAGCGTTTTGGTTACTTTGTGGAGCAAAATGATGCAAACCCCAGAGTCATCTTCTTCTTTGAAGTAAGAGATTTTTCATGACTGACACTTCAACATCATTTGAGAATAACTGCAGGTATTTTTTTTAAATTTTGTAAAGATCCTGGATTTTATGACCATGGAAGAGGCAAAAGCCAACACTGACGTCGACAAACACGAGCGAGGTTTTAGAAAGATTGCATGGGCTTTTCTTAAGGTGATGTATGAGTTCTTGTCTTTTAGAACGCAGACGACTTTACTGATTTTTATTTAGAGTTTTTAATATTATCTCTTTTTTTACCCCACTTTCAGCCTGTTGGCACAAATGGCGTTCTGAATATTGACAGCAAACTCCGCCTCCAGCTCTTCTGCCCGCTACCTCGAGTTAAGAGGCAGCCTAAAACGATCGAAGTGGTTGAGTGGTGGAGGAAATATCCAAGAACCAAATACGCCTCCACCCTTTATGTCACGGTGAAAGGGATTAAACTCCCAGCGCATGTGAGCTAAAATGTTTCTTTTATTTCTACCTGAACGTAGCTGAGCGTTTGTCTTATGTTATAGTTTCTGTGTAGGCGATGCTGTTTGAGCTGCGTTGATGAAGGTGAGCTTGTTTTTGCCATGCAGGTGGACCCCAGCATGCGCTCCATGATGGCGCTGCAGGAGGAGCGAGGCACCACCTTCTACAGTGAGCTGCAGAACGAGGTCACCAGAAGAAGTCTGACACAACCTCCTGACAGCAGGCAGCCCGTCCTGACGTGGAGTCGGCTGCCTGGTCAGGTAGTCTCAAACTATTTTATTAGTGTAACACACTAATTGTTTTTATAAATTGTTGTATATTTTTAACACGTCAAGAGATTTAGGATATTGTTTGATGTGAAGTTTACATTTGTGACCTGTCCAAGGTGTCCCCTGCCTCTCACACACTGACATCTGGAGAAAAGCACCAGCGACGCTGAAAAGAGATGATTTATGTCACAAAATATAAATTTAATTCATTAATTCAACCTTTATTTATACAGGTTAGTCTCACTGAGTCACAAGGACTCATTTTCAAGAGAGACCTGACCACTCAGTAACGGACAGACAAATTAACCAATCACATTTTGACATACGATGAGTGGAGCCGCCCACTTTTTAACTACTTTATTTTTCGGCTTTACTAAAGCAGCCGATTGTTGCCCCGTCTTAACTTTTTCAACATATGACGTAAATTTTAAAGTTACTCAATTTTTCCTAAAATTAAAGCAATTTCTTAGTTTAAGTATTTGATTTGTTTATTGCAGGGGTACCCAATACATTGATGGCGATCTACCTGTCAATCACTGACCACTTTGGACTAACTGTCATGCAGACGCTGCATGCACAATGAGTGTTGCCAGATAAATGTAGAATGTCTTATTTACCCCCTCCTTTTCTGTGCACGTTCAACAAGCACAACACACACCTCATCTTAGAATATCTTTACTCAGCACATTTGACAGTTTAGGTCTGAATACCATCATTTTGTTTTTTATCTGGAAACCTGACAGACATGGAAACTACGTTTTCACGTAAACCCGCTCATTTTAACATTGAAGAAACACTAAAGCTTCCAGAGGTTGTTCTGTGTAAACGGGGCCTTATAGCAGGTTTGACTTGGTCATTTTAAAAGTAGCTGCCTGATGAAAAAATGTGGACACCTCTGGTTTACTGTGTTCCACTGTGGATAAATAGCAA